GCGGGCTTTCTAATAGTGCAGTAGGCACGCCAAACACAGAACCACCGACTGCTTAGCACTGCTTACGGGTGCTGTCTTGGTACTCCAAACAGAAACAGAAAAGAAAGAAAATGCATAAAAATGATTGTGTGTGTGTGTTTCACATAAGCTGGGTGAGGGTCCCTCCGACCGTCTGTGCCCGAGATCCACGACCTCATCCGGTCTAATGTTTCTCTGGTTATTGGGCACAAACAGCACAAGGCAGCGAAGTGAACCAAAAAAAGGGGCAAAACAAGGCAACTAAGAGAAAGGCATGAGACGACAAGGCATAGGATAACAGGCCTGAGATCCACGACCTCATCCGGTCTAACGTTTCTCTGGCTATTGGGGGGAGCTGGGTTTTATTATCCTATAGACTGTGTAGGGGGCATATGTTGTTAAACCATTCCCAAAGTGACAAAGGAAAAGACCAGCAGACATCAAACAAGAAAGAACCTGGCAAAGCAGCAAGGCAAAAGCATAGAGGCAACACATAAGGTGGAGGGGACGGGGGAGGCAGGAGGGCAGACGATACACAAGCACGCACAAGGAAACAATGCAGCAAAGGGAACAACCAACAAAATGGAGAAGACAGTAAACAGCAACCAAGAAACAACCAGGCAAGGCAGCAAGGCTAGAGCAGGGAGGCAACACATAGGCCGGAGGGCATGGGAGAGGCGGGAGGGCAGACAACACTTAAGGACCCAGGGCAACAAAAAGAAAGGCAAAGAAAAGATGGTGAAACCGTGAAAGGGCGTAAATCAACAAGCCGTAGGACAACAGGCAGCAGCATAGGACAAAGGCTGGACACGGGTGGGCACAAACAGCACAAGGCAGTGAAGTGAACCAAAAAAAGGGGCAAAACAAGGCAACTAAGAGAAAGGCATGAGACGACAAGGCATAGGATGACAGGCAGCAGCAAAGGACAAAGGCTGGAGGGCACGGGGGAGGCGGGAGGGCAGGCGACACACAAGCACACCAAGCAGCGGGAGGGCAGGCGACACACAAGCACACCAAGCAGGCAAATGAGAAAAAAAAACAAGTCCTAAAAATATGCAAAGAGTCTAGGCTGGTCCCCGGGCCCCCCAGCGACCCGGTGGTCGCCCGGGGGGGGGGGAGGGCCGCCTGGCCGGTTGTTCCACCTGGTTGGCCACCGGGCGAGGCCAGCGCATCTCAGAAGGGGGGGCGGGGTTCGGCCTTTTTCGACGCGGGGGGCCTTCTTCCCCCCAAAGGAGGCCGTCCAGGCCATCACAGTGTGAAAAAAAGGCCGGTAGGCCCGATTCGAAATCGGGGCCCATCTGCGCCGTCGATCTCCAGGATCGACGGCCCAGATGGGCCGCGATTTTGAATTCTCGAAATCGGGCGGGAGTCACCGCGGCCCTCGTCCCCTCCTGTTGCCTCTCCCGCCCGACGCCTCGACTCGACGGGAACTCCGCCAACGCCCCCGAACGCCGCCGAGCCCGCCGATGCCCGCCATCGCGCTGTTGCGCCAAGGTAAGTGGGTTAGTAGTAGTAGTAGTAGAGAGAGAGAGAGAGAGAGAGAGAGAGAGAGAGAGAGAGAGAGAGAGAGAGAGAGAGAGA